CCTCCTTGCAGCGGCCCCGGCCCGGCTTCGGCCTCTGCCGGCGCGATGTCCCCTGGTGCCGCGGGATGAGCCAGGTGAGCGCGGAGACCCCTCTTGCCGGTGCGCACGGTTTGGGTGAGGGCTCGGGCGGCAGCGATCTCAGTTCCCTGGGGCTGTGTGACCTTGGGCGGCCCCGCACCCTCTCTGGGCTGAGGCTCCGCGCACAGGCGGGGCCGGGCGAAGGCCATTGCAGTCCCGGCCCAGCACGTGCCAAGCCGGGGCGCTGGGAAGGCTTGGCCGAGAAGGCGGGGCCTGGGCCCCCCAAGTTCCTCCGCCTATAGCCGTGCGTTATGGAGCCAGAGCCTCCCCTCCCTGCCCCTCAGTTTCCTCATTTGTGAAATGGAAAAATACCACCTGAGTGTGAGTCGACGACGAGGAAGACGCCCCCGAGTGTGCGCACGCACGCACGCCGAGCCCTGGTCGCCTTCCTGGCGGCTGCTGCTGTGATGTCGATCCTATAATGGCACAGTCCTTGGGGCAAGGAAGCGCAGAGAGAACCTGAGAAGGCCCTGGTCCCTCAGCATTGAACTTGACCCTCCTGGGGGCCAGGCGGACTGGCAGGGGAGGGCCGGGTGAATTGATTCCAGGGCCTCGACTCTAGGACTCAGTTGTCACCAGAAATCGGACGCAGTGCAGGTGGGCGTCTGCCTATATGGGAGAGAGGACTCAGGGCATACTTCATCCTCTTCCCGCAAAAGAGCCAGAGCCAACACCTGTGCAGAGCTTGTTCTGCATCCTCTGTGGTCCCTAAGTCACATATAAGGATCCCGTAATAATCTGTTACTGCTCCATTTCACAGATGAGGAAACCGAGGCCCGGAGAGCACAGGTGGGCAGCAGCTTAGGCTGTTGGGGTGTCGCTGGGTCCTCTCAGCAATCCTGACCTATGTCCCTGCCCACAGTGACTGGCCCGGGCATGGCAGACCCAGTGGCAGGCATTGCCAGCTCGGCAGCCAAGAGTGTGCGACCGTTCAGTTCCAGTGAAGCCTACGTGGAGGCCATGAAGGAAGACCTGGCCGAGTGGCTCAACGCCCTGTACAGCCTGGGACTGCCTAGCGGTGGGGATGGCTTCCTGGCTGGGCTGGCCACGGGCACTGCATTGTGCCAACATGCCAACGCTGTCACTGAGGCCGCCCGTGCCCTAGCTGCTGCCCGGCCGGCCCGAGGTGTGGCCTTTCAGGCACACAGTGTGGCAGCTGGCTCCTTCATGGCCCGAGACAACGTGGCCACCTTCATCGGCTGGTGCCGGGCAGAGCTGGGTGTGCCCGAGGTCCTCATGTTTGAGACGGAGGACCTGGTGCTGCGGAAGAATGAGAAGAGCGTGGTGCTGTGTCTCCTGGAGGTGGCCCGACGTGGCGCCCGCCTGGGCCTGCTGGCCCCTCGCCTAGTGCAGTTCGAGCAGGAGATTGAGCGAGAGCTACGAGCCACACCCCCAGCCCCCAACGCCCCTGCCACTGGCGGGGAGGGCCCTGCAGAGGCTGCCCTTCCAGTGGGGGTTCCCCCCCGGGGTCCCCGCATGACACCCAGTGACCTGCGCAATCTGGACGAGCTGGTGAGTCCCGTGGGTGTGAGAGGGGGCTCAGGCCCCTGCTTCTGCTCACTTACGGAACCCGGGGCCCCACGGACTGGAGAGCAGAGCTGGTGCCCACAACTGGCCCCTAACCCTCTCAGGGCCTCCCAGGGTCTGTTGGACAGGAAAGGGCAGCACAGGTGACTCTGTTAAGCAGTACATGTCTACTTGGATGGAGGAATAGGTGGCCTGGCCCAGGGAGGGGGCAGCCCCAGCTGGGCCAACTCAGCCCACTGGCCTCCCCTCCAAACCATGCACTGGCTCCCCAGGAAGGCCTCAGGAAATGAACATCTAGCAGCCAGACCTTCATGGCACTTTAAGAGATGGAAAGGTACCTGACACGTGACTGGGAGGAGGCATGGCATGACCACCTGGGCAAGATGCCTAGCATACAGTAGGCGCTCAAAGCACCTGGTGAGCCCCCCAGAGTACCTAGTCCTGAGTCCACTGCCAATGGGAGTTGGGGCAGCAGGAGTGGCCCATGGCCGCAGTGCCTCCTGGTTCTCTCAGGAGCAAGTGCTCCCCCCTCCCCCGCCACCCCCAGGGAAGGAGGTCAGGGCGCCAAAGTGCCCGCTGGGAGGCGGGTAGGCACTGTCAGGGCAGACGACCGCCTCCCACCCTCACCCCGGGCCCTGTCAGCTGAGGTTTCCACCTGCCCATTTCCTCTGGCGCCACCGTGGGCACCGCCCACGCAGCCAGCCTGGCAACCCTGGGAGCATTGTGCTGGCCCGTCGGGGCCTGTGTGTGCATGCTGAGGTGTCCCGTCAGAGGCATGGGGCCTCCTGCACGCATGACCTAGCTTCCTCCGTGCACCTCAGCCCCCTATCTGGGAAGTGGGTGAAGGAGGAATGAGGATAGACTCCAGGGTTTGCCCTAGGCCCTCCTTTCCTGGGCAGCCCTCTGACCCTGGAGAGCCAGACAGGGGTGAAAGGTCAAGTGCAGCCACTTTGCACAAGTGTGGGCTAACAGTCTCCAGGCCCCTCTCCTGAGTTCTCACTTCCTAATACCCTGCCCCACCCCCTCTCCACCCCGACAGCTAATGTCAAGTCCTAGGAGGAGGGCCCGAACCTCTGACTTCCAACCTCTGTTCTCTGGCCTCAGGTGAGGGAAATCCTGGGCCGATGCACCTGTCCAGACCAGTTCCCTATGATCAAGGTCTCCGAGGGGAAGTACCGTGTGGGGGATTCCAGCCTGCTCATCTTCGTGCGGGTAAGTGGCCAAGTGCCGCCCAAAGGGCAGGCGGCCGGGGGCTCGGGCTGCGGCGATCTGCTCACACAGGGTCCCACAGGTGCTGAGGAGCCACGTGATGGTGCGCGTGGGTGGAGGCTGGGACACGCTGGAGCACTACCTGGACAAGCACGACCCGTGCCGCTGCTCCTCCACTGGTCAGTGTCCCAGCTGTGGGTGGGTGCGTGCTGAGCAGCCCCACCCTCACGACAGCCCCTCCTCTCTCCCTGCAGCCCACCGCCCACCTCAGCCCAGAGGGAGAGCCTTCTCTCCCCAGAGGATGTCGCCTACCCCCAGCCCCCGAGCTGGTAGTCCAGCCCCTGGGGGTGATCACCGGGGCTCCCGGCCTGAAGTGACCCCTATTAGCTTACTTAGCGCCAAGGAGGGGCCTGAGACCCCCCTCAGGTGAGCAGGGGGGCGTGGGGGTCAGGGGTCTGGAGGGTGGGGGTGGGGGTGTCTTGCTGGCCTTGATGACGCTGAGCTTGTCGCTCTGGAGTGACTCACATTCTGGGAAAAGTTCCCGTGGGTGGGGCCAGGGCCCAGCTTCCTGTCTCCATGACAGCCCAACCAAACCAACAACACAGCTGGGGCAGCCAGTCCAACCCCCGCTTCCTCCCACCGCCCCAGGGAGATGGGAGGCCAGAGGCGGCCCCAGGGCCCAGTGGCCACAAGGAAGCTGTAGCGGCAGGGTGTCTCACTTCTCCCTGGAAGTCCCCAGCCAGACAGATGCCCACAACAGCCTCCCACCAACACGGCTGCCCCAGGTTCCCCCCTCCACCATCACTGCCCTGTTTGATACTCCTCTCTCTCTTGCCCCCCCCCTCAGGTCCCGGGATCAGCTGCCCCCCCACCCCCGCTCCCGCCGCTACTCGGGGGACAGTGATTCCTCAGCCTCCTCAGCCCAGAGCGGTCCCCTTGGTACCCGAAGTGACGATGCAGGCACTGGTCCCCGGAAGGAGCGACCCAGTCGGCGACTGACCACAGGGCCCCCAGCCTCCCCAAGGCGCCCCCCTGCCCCTCGAAGCCAGTCCCGAGACCAGCTGGATCGCGGTCGGCCCAGGGGGACCCCTAGGGGCAGGGGGTCCCAACTGGTAGTCCCCAGCCCTGCCCGCCGGGCACAGAGCCAGAATCGAGAGGAGCAGGCTGTACTGCTTGTGCGTAGGGACCGAGATGGGCAGCATTCCTGGGTGCCGAGGGGCAGGGGTGGCGGGGGCTCCAACAGGGGCAGCCCCCAGACACCTCGGGCCCGAAGCCCTGCAGCCCCTCAGGCTGCCCAGGCTCCCAGCCTGGGCCCGGAGTTGGGCAGCACACCTGCCAGCGTCTTCCGCACACCCCTGCAGCTGGACCCACAGCAGGAGCAGCTGCTGTTCCGGAGCCTGGAGGAGGAGTTCCTAGCCAACGCACGGGCCCTGGAGGCTGCTGCTGGTGGGAACCCCCCTGGCCCTGGCCCTGCACCGGACCCAGCTCCGGCCCTGGAGCCGCTGGCCTCTGACTCAGCCTACTGTTCCTCCAGCTCCTCCTCCTCCTCCCTCAGCGTCCTGGGCAGCAAGTGTGGCCCCCCTGGGGACCTTGTCCGGACAGCCAATGGGCTGCCCGGGCCCCGAGCCGCAGCCCTGTCCAGCTCTTCCGACGAAGGCAGCCCCTGCCCTGGTGTTGTGGGGCCACCCAGTGCACTGGGAACCTCCCTGGCCTGCCCAGAGCCCTTGAGGACCTGGCCCCGGGGCCGGATGGACACACAGCCAGACCGGAAGCCCTCCCGAATTCCTACGCCACAGGGCCCCCGCCGCCTGTCAGGACCCTCAGAGCCTGGGACCTGGCACACACTGCACTCAGTCTGGCCCAGGGCAGAGCCCGATTCCTGGATTTGACTGCTCCAGGCCCAATCCTCCCCACACTTCCTTAGTGGCCTTAACCCCTCTGCGTCAGGGAGCTCCCCCTGCCTCCTGGGCACCAGACCTCACGGGACCAGCCCTCTAGGGACCACATGGCACAATGGGACCGACATTGTACATTCTGGGTGGAGGGTGAGCATTGCTATTTAATTATTAATATTATTGAATGCCTTAGAGGAGGGCCTGGGGCCACACAGCCTCTGACAGTAAAGTTCTGCTGCAGCCACTCTGTCTCCATTTTTAGGGGCTTGACTTTCAGGGTTCTCATCACATGGTGGGATTCTGGACCTGCCCTGCAGTTCTGACCACCAGGCTTATGTCCAGCTGCAGCCCCACCTCCACCCCCCAAACTGCCCACCCCAGAAATGCCAGGCACACCTGAACCACTTGCCTTTATTGCCCTGTGAGGGATGGAATGGAGGTGTTTGCTCAGTGACATGCCAGAGGCAGTCTGGCGACTTTGGGGTGATTGGTAACCAAGTTCTTCCCACCCGGAGGGATCCGCACTGTCTGTCCCAAGGAGGCTCCAGAAAGCCCCAGTGAGTTTGGGCCATGGCAGGGTCCAATGAGCCTGAAAGGTCTATAGCTCAAGAGATTGGAGTTTTCCTTCTCCAAGGGGGCGGGGGAAGAGGGCGGAGACTCGTCCTGTCCAATCGGAGAGAAGTTGGGCAGCCTTGTCCAATCTGCTGTCCTCTGCGTGTGCAGCGGCCAGGACGCACAGTCAATCACATGAGAGTGCAGCGCGCTGGGTGTAGTGCGCCCTGCAGGCGTAGGGCCGGGTGCGCGGGGCGGGCCCGCACCAGAGCGCAGCGCAGCAGCTCGCGGAAGAGACGCAGCACGTGCCAGTTGTACTTGGCTGAGCACTCGAGGTAGCCGCAGCGCCAGCCCCTACGCACCAGGGCGGCCAGTGCGCGCCGAGGCCCAAAGCGTAGCCGCTGCCGGTCCCGCTTGTTGCCTACTACCAGGATAGGTGCCTCGGGTGCGCCTGCTGGCCTGGGGGTGGGGATAAATGGGAGTCAGGCACGGTGGTCCCACAGCTGGGGAATACCCCGGGGAGGTATCTACAAGACAGAAGACACCCGCTGCCCCCCGCAAATACCAGGTCCCTGTGGCCCAAAGACAGCACACAGGGAGTGACCTGGGACGGCCACAGACCACGCCCCTCGCCAAAGGCCCCTTACCACCCTCCCCACCTCTTCACCCGCCCTGCACCTGGTCTCTGCTATGCGTTGCCGCAGCGCCTTCACATAGTCGAAGCTGTCCGGGCTGCAGATGTCATAAACGAGCACGAAGGCGTCTGTGTCCTGCAAGCTCCAGCCCTTAGAATCTGGCCCCTCCTGGGGACACACGAGGGGCCAGGGTTTGCAGGGGCCTTCAGCTCAAGTCCACAGCTCAGCCTCAGGCCTCTCTCGTCGCAGCCCCCACCCCCACTTACCCATCTGTGTGCTGCCTGCCTACCCTCACCCCTAAATTCATGGGCTTTCTGTTTGGTTAACATTTCCAAACCGTGCCTAGAAGCTGACGGCCGCTAGTTCTAGTCCCCTTCTGTGTCCTCTCCACCTCCAGCCACCCCCAAAGTCCTCCTCCTCCCGCCTTTCTGCAAACTCAACTCGAGTCAGGCCACTCCCACCCTCAGATGCCCTCCCTGGCTCCCACTGCCACCAAGACCAATTCCACAGCCCTCAGCTGGGCCCTCAGGCCCATTGTGGCCCTCCACCACCCCCATTGCCCCCTCCAATTCTGAGTAGCCATTTGCATGTGCCCCCTTCCCCCACGCTAAAGCAAAGGGATGGTCTTTCCACTTTTTTTTCAAAAAGATCCCACGCATTTCCCCTGCTGCCGGCTGGGTCTAGTGCCTTGCCCTCTGGAGCCCCCGGCGACTCCCCCTCATCTCCGGGAGTCATCCAGCTCCAAGGACTGGCGCGCTGTTCTGGGCTTGGCACCAAGGGCTAAAGGATCCTGTCTTTGCACCAGGTCCCAGGAAAGGGCTCAGGGTGAGAAGGACCCCACTAGAAAGTACTCCCTGTGTCTGACCCCACCCCAGGGCTGGCTCTGCTCAGCACCCCACATCTCCCCAAGGCGCCGCCCTGCTCTGCCTTGCCCGGGACCACCACGGGTCCCAGGCAGAGGCAGGCACCCCCCCACCCCCACCCCCCGAGAGTGAGAGAATGCCACTTGGCGACATCGGCGGTTCCCCACAAACACTAAAACACACTCACCCCAGCCCACCCCGGAGCCGCTACCTCGGAGCCCTGGGTGCCCGGACCCGGGCCAGCGCTGTCGCCGTCGCTGATGCTCAGGTCGTAGACCGCGCCGTCGAGCAGCACCGCGGGCCGGTAGAGGCACGGCCCGTCTGTGGGCCGGTGGCGCTCGGGATAGTCGCTGAACAAGAACTGGCGAATGATGGCAGTCTTGCCCACGCCCGGGGCACCCAGCACGGCCACCCGC